AAGAAGAGTGACAGCCACAGGAGATTTGCACAGAAAACGTAACGGAAACACCACAGAAGATATTACCATCAGAGAATGCATGCGAGTGTGGAAAGAATAGATGAGCTGAGAAAAACGAATTAGTGAACTGGAGAAGCGTCAAGAGATAGAAAGATTTGGTGTGCGAAGGTTTATGGCAAGTGACCAGATATCAGATTTTACACAGGACTTCCTGATTATGTGACATTTGTTTCTTTGTACAATTTTGTTAAACCTAAACCAGGATTTAGTCTTAACTATTATAACGGGTACACCAATGCAGCTAAAGACCCATCTTATGTTGTTTCGCATTGAAGGCCGAGAAATTTGTGTGAAATTGATGAACTATTTCTCACTTTGACAAGGTTACATCTCGGCTTGCTGGAAAAAGATCTGGCTGACAGACATAACATTACTCAGCCAGAAGTATCACAGATCTTTGCAACCTGGATTGACCGTTTGTGTCATTGTCTTGGAATGTTGAGCTTTTTAACAGACCGTGAGACTATGAAAAAGCATTTACCAAAGTGCTTCAAGCCAAATTATAAGGATGTCTATCTTATAATTGACTGTACAGAAATATTCATAGAGAAGTTCTCACAAATCATACAATAAAGTTGTACCTGGTCTGAATACAAAGGGCACAATACAGGAAAAGGACCGATTGCAATCTCACCTCTTCTACTACCACTATTTGTCTCTTGAAATTTATCCAGGCAGTAAATCAGATGAGGACATCGTAAAAGAAACTGGAACCCTCTCCCTTGCTCATGTGGGGGACAGGTGGCTGGCTGACAAAGGATTTATGGTGCAGCATATTCTAGATGTATATGGTGTGATTGTAGATACACCAGAGAAACTCTCAAGCAACAAACAGTTCACTGAAGAACAGGATATCTCAAGTTAGGGTACATGTGGAAAGAACGATACGAAGGGTCAAGGTATTCATGGATCTTTAAAAGAAAACATGCCAATTCGATATGTGCACCAGATTTCAAAGATGTGGAATGTATGTTGCTGGTTAACTGCCTTTTTAACTTTTCTTGTTAATGATAAGTATGAACTACTTCATGAAATGAATGAAGAGTAGTGTTTAGCATGAGAACATTCCATGAGTAACAAATACCTTGACAGCTGTGCAATAATTTAGCTTGTCAGCAACTCAACAACTCCCCTCAAGTGCATAGAATGCAAAAAGTTCATTGTTGCATGATGATTTAAAATTGTGTAATGCAATACGAAAGGACTTGAACAGTAGACAGTGTTGGTATATTTCATGTTCCAGCTTTCCCAAATTAGGATTTTTTGAGTGTGGTTGCTCATGGATTCAGACCCATCATCTTTGATAATTGACCATTATTGTTATTATATAGCATTTGTAAATTTTTAATGCTGATTGGCTAAGAGCCATGTTAATTAACATTGGTGCTATATTATAAAAAATATAAAGCATTTTCCCATATTAATATATAGTTATGTAAATAGTCTTGGAAATTGGAAAAATTCAAACTTGTGTGAAAACCCACCACCCCTTAGTTTTTTGCGATGACTTGTTTAGGGACTTCAGTTGACAGGAAAATGTAACAAAATAGATATTGTAGTATTTTGGTCAAGTATAGAGACACTTTTACAACTTAAATATGGATTGCTGCACAGTTTATCTTTTGTTGATTGCTATGATAGGAAGGGAATCACCCTGAAGTTGTTTGATTGCCTGCCATTTGGAGAAAATCATGTCACTGCGAACAAACAATAGACTGTCATGCTCCCACACACCTTTTTATTTTCCCAATTTCCACTTGTATTTGTATAATTATGGTAAATGCTTTACATTTATTGAATATAGTGTATTAATATATGAATAATTTAATGTTGTATTTAAATTAATAATTGTAATTTATATTACAAACAATGAATTTAATATATTACCAACATCATAATGATGACAAATTATACAAAAAGATTGTAAATACTTAATAATATTTATCACATAAATTAACCAGAGAGGTGCTGAAATCACCTAACGCTCGCCTGCACTGTTTGTCTAGAATAAGGCTAAACTCTGTATGAAAGGTATCTGTATGAAGCACAAATTACCGATCTTTTTATTACAAATTACAAGGCTAAAATCCGCGTTGGAAGGTAATATTAAGCACCAACTTCAGATATTAGTTGTGACCTCAGAATTACTGGCCAAAACTGGCCTCGGAATTACATTAGTTTTATTTGTGACCAATATTTCTTCCGTTTCTCGCAATCCGCGCACGTGATATCAACAGGTAAGTTAACGGACCAGGCAAAAGTCCCTGCTTTAAGCCGGGCGCACACACAACGATTTTGCGGTAGTTGGTCCATTCAGGTTTAGACATATAGGCAGCCCTTGCCCAGACATGTTTTCCTTCTCGCGGCGCTCGCGCCTCGCGCGTGTACGCGAGTCTACTTGGTCTAATAATGACCAAGTATAGATCGCCAGTCGCCACATTTTGATGAAAACATCCATCTAGACAGGAATCGGCAGACTATTAGATCGTCGTGTGTGCGCCTAGCTTTATGAAATAAACAAGATTGGATTTTTATATCTACACAAAAAAGGATTATGCATCAAACAACGAAAAGGTATGTACATAAATCTTATAGGTGCTTTAATAATATATTTGCATGTGTATCTACATAAATAATATGCAAATATATGTCACATGCGTTGCCATTTGCCTTTGCATTCCGAGCCTATCGGCTTTCTACTTATAAATACTTATGTGCCAAAGCTTGTAATTGCGAATTATCTGACAATATTCTTTAAACTTTAACGTTGCACTATGTTTTATATATTTTCACTCCCTGAATGATTTCTATATTAAGCGATTGAATTTTGATACGGCATGTCACAACACAATCTCATAATTTATAATTGTACATGTACAATAGAAACAAATGGTAGCATACAGGTGAAAATATTTAAATGTTTCTCATTTGGCTTAGGGTTGTACAAATAGTTTCGGTAAATATGATTCAGCTACAACTTTGAACTAAAAAAAAACGTAAAAAGCGTGAAAATCGTAATGAGCGTGATAACTCTGGATAACTCTAACATTGACCTTATCATGATGCTAATAAGCTTAACATTTGCCTTATCATTTGATAATTTTGAGCAAAGCTCTCTTTATTATTGTATAAATGTGTACCAAATGGCACTGAATAGTCACAATGCATATCGATGACTTATATTTATGATGATTCCTTTGATGTAAAGCCATAATATTTAAAAAATATAGCATCTTAACATTGACCTTATCATTATGCTAATTAGCTTAACATTCACCTTATCATTTGATAATTTTGAACAAAATTGCCATTATTTTTGTGTAAATGTGTACTAAATGTCACCATATAGTCACAAGACATATCGATGAGCTATATTTATGATGAATCTTCTGATGCAAAGCCGAATATTTAAAAAATATAACATCTTAACATTGACCTTATCATTATGCTAATTAGCTTAACATTCACCTTATCATTTGATAATTTTGAGCAAAACTCTCTTTATTATTGTATAAATGTGCACCAAATGGCAATAAATAGTCACAATGCATATTGATGACTTATATTGATAATGATTCCTCTGATGTAAAGCCAAAGTATAGAAAAAATATAGCATTTTAACATTGACCTTATCATTATATTTTGTTGTATAATGTTCACTCCCCCCTGGTAAATGGTTCTTTTGCAACAAATAGACTCCTTAAGTAGATAAGTTGAAAATAATGGGAAAATAAAAGTGGCATCTTAACATTGTACTTATCATGTAGTGTGGACGCGGACGGGGACGGGGACGCGGACGCCAAGACTATAGCAATAGCTCTCTTGCACTAAAGTGCAGGCGAGCTAAAAATGCTTCAAACAAGAACAAAATCAATTTCTGAACAGTTATTAGCTAAGGCATTTGCAAACTGCCTAATGCCTAACATAGAATCAAATTCAAGTAAGTTATTGTTGAATGCAGAAGGTATAAGTCCATGAATAAATTGATAAAATTACATTTCTAGTAATAAGAAAGTACTTTGATTTGTTAGATTCTGGAACATATGATTGAAGAATGGCTAATCCCATCTCTGTACACTTCATTTGAAGTTGAACCTGGCAAATATGTGCCCCAGTGACTGTAGATAAGGACTCAGTTTGTCCCTCTGCCCGAGTTTTAATCTCAAGCAAGCATTGTCCATTTAGTTTAATATTCTTGCTAGTTTTTAGACTAGATGTTCTTATCAGAAAGAAAAATTGCTGCCGAAAGATCTGAATTAGAAATCTTTACGATATAACCAGGGAGCAGCGTGGAAGCATCTTCAAACAACTTAGCATCAAATGTTGCATAACAACTGTCTAAAATAGACAAAACACTTCTCAAAAGTGCTAAGTTAAAAATCTTTATTTAAATGTTCAGATGAATTTTACGGATAATAGTTTTATTCAGAAACCAGGGCAACAGTGTGACATCAATGAGGGCACAATAACAAAATTCATGAACATAACTTAACTAAACTGGAGTGGAAAAAGAACCAGCAGCATACAGTTAATCATACTTGATTATATATGATTATTAGGAAAACTTTGATATGTAAACATTTGAACAAATATATAATTTATTACAAAATATAACAAATTCAATATAACAACTATAAAACTGCTATTGGCAAGATAAAACTGGCTAAGAAGTTACAGATCTATGATGTCTAAGTATTAATTGGTATTAATTGATAAGCTTTCCTGATATTCAGTACTCAATAGAGTAATGCACATATCAATGTTAGCCCGCAGGGGGGGGAGGCCGGGCATATCCACGGGATTTGGCACACTACAATTGCCCTTGTTACGGGCATTTGACCACCTTTCTGAGCCTGGGGGTGGAGTCATTTGATAAATTGTAAATTATACTTCGACCTAACCCGCGATCGGGCATGTACAAACCACGTGGAAAAAACAACATGGCGTCTAAAGACAGTATAAAGGTTGATGAATTATTCAATAAGATGAAGGAGAAAGGCTTGGATAATATTGTTGAAACATTTATCGGTAATGTAGTATTTAATCATTAAATGCATTTTATATTTAAATGTGGTTTCTGGATTTTGAAATATGACAACGAATACGATTGTATTCATACTTAAGATTTGATATTTATAATATTAAAAATTCCTCAATGTCCTCATAAAATTCTAAATTTCAATATACGCAAACATAGAAAACAAGTTGGATAGCAGTGAGACCTTGTTGCTTCTTTTGGCAAATGACCAAGATTTGAAGGAGTTGATTCCTGTGGTTGGTGAAAGGCTGTTGGTTAAAAAGCTTCTGAAAAATGTGTTATCTGTCACTGACACTGATATAAATGTAGGTAGCTTGTATTTATTTATTTGTGTAATGTTTTAACCAATTGTATTTGCCAAGTATATGTATGAACTCAATATATGAAACAATGAGAATTTGTATGGTATAGTCATTAAAATTTTAATTGTTCATTTTGATAGGAACAACATGAAATAACATCGCCAATTGCAAATGTTTTGAACAGCGAATTTACCCAACAAGAAGGTTATTTACACTTTAGATCAATAAGAATATATGAATGAAAACCAACATCCACTTTGCTAAATGACTGACAACTTTACTATTCAGTGATAGGGTATGTACTGCCAGTTGATGGGTTAAATTTAATAGTAGTTAAGAATATATTATACCTTTTCAGACACAGAATTATTGATATTAAAAAAGAAACCTAAACCTTCAGGTGGTCAAAAAACACTGGTTGTTGAAGGAGGATCACTCACTATTGGACCAACATTAATTGTAAGTGATTGTTTGTGGTCAGATGGTGCTTAATAATAATATCTATTTAGGAAGCTCCACTCACCAAAGTGCTTTTCAGGGAGTTCCTGTAATAGAATGAAATGTCCAGTAAACTACTGTCTTGCAATGATATATGTTTACTTATTAAAAGGAATCAGAGGAATATCTAGATAAAGATAAAGATATTGCTAAAAGTGCAAGAATTTTCAATAAAGATATGAAACGACCTTTAAAGCCATATGAAGAAGCTGTAAACACTGCTGCAGGACAACTGGCACTGGATGACCCAACACTCTTGGCCAAAAGAGGTAACTGTTATCATATATTATCACCAAACTTATCAAAATCTTTCAATGTGTTACATAAATTTATACATGTAAGATATGACTATATTTGTTTCAACCAGTTATTAATATAACAGGCAATATATCCCTTATATTTTATTTTAGGAACTCTTCTCACAAAAGCTGTTGAAAAGGTCAGGACAGATGGTTCCTATACATACAAGAAAGGCTATTCCAGATCAGAATCATCAAGCAGTACCAGTAGTGAAGAAGACTGCAAGCATCCCAAAAGAGCCAAGTTGATGTCTGATGAAAGGCAAAAGGAGATACAGAATTTGTCACAGTTAATTTCTATGTCTGAAGATGGCATTAAAATGCGCCAATTAGAATTGGGTAAGGCCAAAACTGTCAATAACTACACCAAATGTGCTGAAATTACCGACAAGATCAGGAAACTATTCAAAGAAAAGAATGACTACTCCAAACAGCTAGCAGCCTTACAGAAAAAGGAATCCAAATCAGTGTGGTATCACAAGAACAAGGCATCCACATCTGCTGCAAGTCCACAAGACAAGCCTCCTAAAACAGCTGCAAGTGGTGGATTAAAGGCTGCTTTTGAAAGAATGAGTAAAAACAATGAGCAGTCAAGCAACATAGAATGTTTCAATTTTGAAAGCTCAGATACGTCGTCTTCAGGTGATTTAGATAGTGTTTAATAATTCTTCATATAGGTTTGATGAGTGTGAAGAACTTAATAGTGTTACAACACAAATTGTTATATCATATTTACCCTGAATAAATCATAGTAGATTATCTTCATAAATGAAAATCTATAAATACTATAAATTAGTTGTATTCTATAGTCAACTAGACGTATAACGAATGTGTGTGACCAATCCATATTGACATTTACAATTACTTGTGTGCATAAACTTTTCATTATAAATGTGGTTCATTGTAATCGGGTCTTTCTCTTTTATTATATATAGAATCTCAAACTGGAAACACAGTGGTGCAGGATTTTTGAATACTCCCTTTCATGGCATGAAAGGGAGTGAAATTTTAGAGATTTATAAACAGCAGAAAAACATGAACTTGTCAAACTATGACCAAATTAAAGATGACGTTTTTGTTTCAAGATTTGAGGGGTTAAGTTTGGAGCAGTATATTGAGGCCCGTTCTCTATTTTGCAAAGCGCAACATGAAAAAGCTTGCCATGACTGTTGTTTACAATTAAACGTTGCCAAGTATGTCAAGCAAGAAGGGTACATAACACTAAAACATGCATTTGAAATGTGTAGCCCAGGTGTGACTTACACATCAAATCATGCCAAACGAAAACTGCTACAAATGCCTTTGGCTGCAGTTGGCATTGGTAGCAAGACTACTGGGACATACTGCATCTATTTGGTAGAAAAACACACGTGTACTAATTATGCTGTGTTCCAAGCACTTTTAAACGAGGTTTTAGCGAAAACTGTTCAAACTCGTGTTTCTTTTGCTACGAAGGATGAATTGAGATGTCTGCTTACCCTTGCTGAAAGCGAGGCAGAAAAAGAGCGTATAAAATATGCAGTTGTGAAGTCGGCTGGAATGTCTGCTGATAAAGCAAATAAAGTGTTTGGATTTCACAATATGAATAGAAGGGCTGAAGCAATAGAATTGGCATACAAAGAGGCATGTGAAATTAAGGATTCAATAATGAATATTGCACATCTGAAGGATAGGGCACTCTTGGGTTCGTTTGGATTGCAAGACACACTAAGCGGTGATGAAAATTCGGACAGTGAAGACGATGATGAGCTACTGGAGCAACCCAAGGCGGAATATAATAATTTTGCTGATGAAAAACAAGTTGTGGATGATAATAGCAGTAATTATATTTCTCAGCAGAACGACTTGCCCGATATTACAAGGGAAATTAAATCTGAGGATATATTAGATGTTTTGAAACAAACCAAGTTTAACTGGTTTGCACTTGAGGAGGCCATAAGTCAAAAGTTCCCATTGCTACCCAAGGAAACGATCAATCAGTCACTTTCGACCATTAGCGAGCAACTTCCTTGCCTGCCTAGTTTGAGCAAAGAAGATAACATGCTTCTTAAACAATCGAGACAAGCCTTCATTCTTGTCAACAACAGTTCAGAAAAAGAAGAAGATCTTCAAGATGGACTGATAGTGTCAGACTCTGACTCAAGTGACGCAGAGGTATGGCAGAATGGCATATCGAATGTGCTTGACAATAATGGCAGGCTGCTTATTGAAAAGAAAAGAGCTTCCCTAAAAAGGAAGGCAGTCAGAGTCGCCAAGAGACGAATAATGGAAAAGAGATTCCTTAGGCGTCGGCGCAGTAAACGAATCAGCAAAATAATAAAAGAATGCCCTGGAATTGGCGAAGCCATAGAAGAATACGTTTCACAGTGTGGTGCTGGTGCTGATGCCTGGCGTCGGACTGGCGTTGTTACCTTTGATGGCAACAAAAAAGTTCAGAAAAAGGCAACTTTTAAATGCATCAAGGCATTTTTAGAAGAAAAGTATAAGCGCAATTTCGCCTATGGAACTGTTGTACAGATGTGCATTGCAAGGAATAAAAGAAGGCGTTCTGCTGGCCGCTACAAGGGACTTGCTAAAGTTGTTCATAGGCGGGCAAGAATAGGGTTTAACCTTCGTTTTAACCCGGATAGTCACTGGAGTGCAGCCTTATATTCAGAGCTGAATAAAATCCAGTACACTGATGGCACAAACATTACCAACATTGGAAGGGATGACCAAGCAGGATTTCGCCTTGATACCATGTCTACTCACAAGCTTCATGGCTCATTATGTGTATCAGGAAAAGAAGCCTTAACAACACGAACAGATTATGTGAATAACTACCCTTCAACCTTGCAAACAACTTCATACAACTTTCCAGCAACCACAACAAGTGGTGAAATATGTGCAGGCATGGTTAAGGCAGCAGGACTGTATGAAAAAGGCCCACCACAGCATATGCCTGACCTAAAATTCTTGGAGAAACAAGACGCAATTAAACCAGCATTCACTAATATTGCGAATGGTGCAATGAAAGAGATTGAATGTATTAGGGTTGATGGAAGCTTCGACGAGGGTCCAGCCCATCAAGAAATACAGTATTGGAGGACCTTAAGACACCTTGAAAAGGAAACTAGAGCTCTTATGGTATCATCTCGTAGCAGTGGCGGAAGTTACCTTAACCGTGTGGAACTGCAGAATGGCTGCCTGGCGTTAGCCCATTCTAACCTTTTTATTCCGTCAACTCTACATGGTTCGTGCCGTTCTGAGTCTGGTCAGATTGATCAAATCTTACTACATAAGAAGTTGGAAGCAGCAATTGATATTTATATTTCTAGGGTAGATGGTGCTCCATGTGCGTCCACACATATACATATGTATAAAGGGGCTGAATCTGCTACCGAGAGAAAAGAGAGTGAATTGCTAAACATTTTTCTGAAAGGCAATAAGAAGCAAAAGGAGGAATTGAAATCAAATCACCCTGAAATGCACAAGAAATTTGAAAGAATATGGCAATTACGTGAAAGGCATCTGTGTAATTCAAAGTTTCCGTCAAAGTATCTATTCTACCTTGTTTGTTGCTATGAGCAAGGTTGCATCCATCCTGTGTGTCAACGAGAACAAAGCGATCCAGGGCTTTCGTGGTATCCAGGTGGGCCAGGTTTGCGATATGTTCCCATCCCAACACCAGACCCACTGAGGCCTTATGGAGGACAGTGTAGTGAATGTAAAACTGTCTGTGCTGGACACTACATGAAGCCAGACAAGCTTCTAGAAAATTTTATTTCAAACGGAGCGGTGGGAAATCCTTCACCACTGTCAGAAGTAATTCTTGCAGTCTTCCAAAAGTATAAAGTTGTACCCACTGCAGAAGTTATAGAGGAAACAGCAAGGAAGGTCCTTCTTACTCCTGAAGAAGTCAAGTTTTGGTTCGAACACCTTTATCAAATTCATGAAAACAGGAAAAGAGGCGCTAAGAAAGCTGCAGAGACAAGGAAGAGAAAGGCTAAAGAGAAAGAACAAACAAAAAACAAACAACCTGGAGGGAATGAGTTGCAAAAAACAATTAATCAGGAGGATGAAGAGAATGAACTTTGCTTTATCTGCAGTTTGAAAGATCCTGCATCAGATAATGCTAATAGTCAAGGCACGGTTTCGTGGATTCAGTGTGATGGTTGTCTGCGTTGGTGTCACGTAGAGTGTGTTGGATTACAAGGGTGTTTCCCAGATGTGTGGATGTGTTTAGGATGCAATTGAACGACAAGTAGTTCGTATGTAAAGTTTTGGGTTCTTCATGTTCATTTAGTAAATTGACCCTTACTAAAAGGTATAAGCAACTAGAGTAGACGAAGCGGATTCGGGTTTTAAAAGATATATTCTCGATAATACAAAAACACTCCCTCTCACAACAGCGGTCTCAATTCTCTCTCTCGCACTCAGTCCCTCCCTTGTCTTTTAACTCCTATAATCCTATTGATAATAATCTAAATGTGTCAATCATGCGAATCAGCGCCCAAAATTGAAGCAATAATTAATCGCGTTAATGAATCACTGGTATTGAGTATATATATGTGTAGACAGTCTCCGACACACTCCCCCATGCAAGTTAGGAACTAAATTGCATGCTTACTGAGGAGGCTGTTTTTTCAAGCAACGTGTTCGTGACAAACAAACATTAATAACAATGTATCTAGTACTAATAGTAAATATGACTAGTTCAGAATTTCAACTGTCTTCTTCGCATTCAGCTATGACGGTTATTTTCGCTTGGGCATCTGCGGCAGCCGCTCTTTTAGGTGTGAACACTCGGGCGTCCGGGTTCAATTTGTCTTGAGCTTTCTTTGCGTTCCCTTTTGTATCACACTGGAGTTCCAGAGGATAAAGATGTTGGACGGGTCTTTCTATCACTCCATTCTTCGTTTTGAGCTGAACGGCTCTCGTCCGACCATCTGATCCTGGGAATAATTTTACCACTATCGCCAGTGGCCATTTTCCTCGATTCTTGTCGTCTGTCTTTACGATTACCGCGTCCCCTTCAGAAACCTCGTATTTCTGTGTTTTGTGGACCAGGATGTGACGTTCTCGGAGCGCCGTCAGGTATTCGCGTTGCCATCTCCTCCACAAGCTATTCTTGCACGTCGTTAAATATTTCGCTCGCTTTCTTAGGTCTTCATCGTCGATCCGCCATGGTTCACTTTCAGGTAGCTCACTGGTTCGTTGGAATAGGAATGTGCAAGGGGTTAGGGCTGGTAGTTCCACGTCGTCTTCCATGTAGCTAAGCGGTCGTCGGTTTATTTGGATTTCTACATCCAGCAGAACGTCGATCAATTCCGACCACGTCAGCGTCGCTCCGCCAATCACCTTATACATATCGTTCTTTACCACACCGATCAATCGCTCGAACTGACCACCCCACCACGGGGCTCTGCTCAGGTTAAATTTCCACGACACGTCGTACTGTTGCAAAAGACCTTGCACACGTTCGTCGTTCCTTATTTGCTTCAACCACTTCGAGGCCTTGACGAACGTAGTTCCATTGTCAGAGTAGATGGTTCTCGGGCGCCCGCGTCGTGCGACGAGTCGTTTAAAGCAAGGAATGAAAGATGTCGTTTCGAGGTTTCTCATCAGCTCGAGATGGACCGCACGTACCTCCACTGGATCTCAGTGTGCTCTCTTATCTTCCGTACGCGATTCGCGACGAACTGTTTGTATAAACCGTTTCCGAGAAGCCAATGAAGTGCTACGGTGCTATCTAACCAACCGAACGTCGCTGGTGTAGGAAGCTCTATCAGGGCATTTTTAGCGTTTGTCACGAGATTTGCTGACATATGAGCACTGACCAACTCTAATCTCGGTACCGTCAGGTTCTTCTTGGCTAATCGAGACTTCGCCGCGACTAGGGACGTTGTAACTCCTCCAGCTTGACGGATCACAGAGTAGACGACAGTGCCCACTCCCTCAGTTGATGCGTCGCCAAATACGTGTAATTCGGCCGAAACGACAGGCTCATGGAATGGGGCGAGAGGTCGTGGAATACTTATTCGTTTGGGAAGGGATTTCTCGAACTTCAGCCAACGCTTTTGAAGATTATCGGGGAGATTGGAATCCCATCCGATTTTGGAGTCGCACACGTCACGAAACACTAGTTTGCCTTGCAACGTAATCGGTGATGCGAGTCCCAACGGGTCGTAGATCTTTGCTAAACTTGCAAGGAGTTCACGCTTGGTGGTCGCCGGTGCACTGGCAGGAAATTCTACCGACATAGTGTCTGTGGTCTTGTCCCATTTTAGACCTAACAACTTCGACTCGCCTGGCTTCACTTGCAGTTGCTGTTTAGCAAACGACTGTTCGTCGCGGCTCTCGTTGAGGTTGTCTTCCAGCTCTGGGACGTTGGAGTTCCATTTGTGTAGTGTGAATTTTCCATCGTCCATAATTTCAATCGCAGTGGTTTTACGTTGCTTCGCTTCCGTGGTGTTTTGACCACCAGACAAAATGTCGTCTACGTATAAACTGCGACGCAACCGGTCCACTTCTTCCGGATATCTTCGGGACCACGAGTCGAGGTGGCACTCCAGGACTCCCCCAAGTAGAAATGGCGAAGGCGCAAGGCCGAATAACACTCGTGCAAAGCGGTACGTTTGTATCTCCTCGTCGACATTTGATCTCCAGTGGAAGCGGAGAGCGTCTCGTTCACATTCTCGAACTCGAACCTGTAGGAAGGCTTTTTTGATGTCACCCGAAATCACCACCGGAAATGCTCTCTGTTGTACCAGAACGTCCCATAACTTGTTCTGCAAAGCTGGCCCTGCATAAAGACAATCGTTCAGGGACAGGGAGTCGGATGTTTCACGGGCCGAGGCGTCGTATACGATCCTCATCTTGGTTGTCTGGGCTGACTTGCGCACCACATATCTGTGTGGAATGTAGAATATCTTTGTGTCACTTCCGCTCGCAGCGGGAGGTGGAACAGGGTCACTTCCGGCCATCACAGGAGGTGGAGCAGGGTCACTTCTGGTCACCACAGCAGGTGGAACGGGGTCACTTCCGGTCACCACAGCAGGTGGAACGGGGTCACTTCCGGTCACCACAGGAGGTGGAGCAGGGTCACTTCCGGTCACCACAGGAGGTGGGGCTCTTTCGATGACCCCCTCAGCGAGTTGTTCTTGTATGATGCCATCGTATTTCTCCATCAGGTTCTCACGTCGAAGTTTTCTAGTCAAGCTTCCCAGTCGCTTCAGGCTACCGCGTTCGTTACTAGGAAGAGCGGGATGGTTTGGTTTCCATGGTAACGCCGTTTCGTACCATCCCTCAGGAGATCGAGTTAGTTGCTCTTTGAATTCAGCAAATACCACCGACTGGTCGTGTTGGGAGGTATCCTCGAGTCCAAGAATGTCTAATCGACACAATTCCTCATACTCGGCGTGGGAGGTCTGAGTCATTAACATCATGTTGCTTTCAAACTCATACCCAGGGCCCATCAGAAACCAACCGAACTTGGTCAACTTGGCAATGGGATCATTCTCGTCTCCGATTCTCGGTCTGGTTTGCGTTTTGATCTTTGAGTACTCCCCGCTCCCCAGAATGACATGGACGGGCAGAGTCTCCTTGACGTCATCATCGTTTATGGTGACACCCGCTAAATGAGGGTGCTTATTTATCAATCTCGAGTAATTGGGGTTATCGATCAGCAAAAGTTCACTTTTGTTTACCTCGTAGCCTTCACGGAAAGACTGAACGAACCGTCTAGCGAGTCGAATTTCAAATCATATATCTCGAGTTTGGTGGACTTAGAGGCCATTAACATGTCAATGTTCTTGATCAGGGATTTTGATGGTTGTAATTTGAGCAAGTTTATTAGTTTTGCAGACACATAGGAACTCCCGGCTCCCGAGTCTATCAAAGCTCTGCATCGAATTCCATTGACTTGCACGACTACCACAGGGAACACCGCTTCGCGTTTTTGGCGCGTAGTCATGGCGACGTTGGCATTTTGTCGAGAGGCTTGGTCGTCATCGTTGTTGTCGTGAGAATCACAGATGGACGTGTGATGTCTCTTTTCACACTTTCTACAAGTGGCTTTACTCGGGCACTCAGAGGCTTTGTGATTGCCCGCGGCGCAATTAAAACATAATCGTTTCTTGGCTAGTATCTGTTTACGGGCTGACGTCAGAAGTACTTTAGTACAGTCGTTCGTTTTGTGCTCGCCGCTGTCGCAATAGACGCAATTACGTGGATTTAATCTTTGACGAGAGACGTGGAACAGCTTCTCTCTCCTCTTGCCACGAAACGAGTCGTCGTTTCGCTCGGGCGCTTTCTCGATTGGGTTTCTTCGACACCACTGGTTAAGTGCTTCAACTAGTTTAGCGAAGTTCCAACTCTCCCATTCTGAATCCGTTCGCACTAAATCTCCTCGAATGCAAGGCAGCTTATCGAGTGTCATTGGCACGGCGCCATTTACCCCCTCAAGCTTGTTCAACGTTTGCAAAGCTTGAACGCAATACGACAGTTTTTCGCTAAACTCGTGAATCTTTTTGTGATCAGTACTTTGTATTGTGGGCAACCCGAGTATTTCACGCGAGTAGCTTTTCACAATTTCAGATTCTTTCCCAAACTTATCTTTCAGAATGCTTATCGCTCGATTGTATCCCTCGCTGTGAAAGGGCAAAGCTTTGATTGTCTGCCGAACCTTAGGCTCTAACAACTCGCAAAGGTAAGAGAACTTAGTCACTGGGGCAATATTGGATTGATCAATGTTCTCTGAGAATTGTCCCCAAAAGCGTGGCCAATCCATAGGAGAACCACTAAATTTTGAGATGACCAATTTTGGCAATTTCGCTTGCATTCCAATCATAGTTTTACTCGTCTGCGAGGTGTTTTTAACAATATGTTCCTCTTGTAACTTTACTTTAGTCTCATGCAGCCTTACCTCGAACTTTATTCTTTCTTCTTTCTCGATTTCTTCTAGCTTCCTCTTGTTTTCCGCCAACCAGTCTTTCGTCAGTCTTACATGACCATCTGCCTCGCTGATTTTGGCATCAATTTCCTCGCTCCACTCGGTAGTATCCTCTTTTCTGCTCAATTTCTCGGCTTCAACCTTGAGCCGTAGTGTCTCTATTTCGCGGACAACAGTTCTTAGTGTTCCTTGGTGTCGCGTAATAGGTTTTTCTTCGGATTTTGCTAGGATTCCATCCGTTCGCTTCGTCGTCAGTTGCAATTGAACTAATTTTGTTTCCAGCGCGGTGCTGGCATTCGTTTCACTCATTTCACAATCCCGTCGGAGGTGCCAGGTTTAGTAAATTGACCCTTACTAAAAGGTATAAGCAACTAGAGTAGACGAAGCGGATTTGGGTTTTAAAAGATATATTCTCGATAATACAAAAACACTCCCTCTCACAACAGCGGTCTCAATTCTCTCTCTCGCACTCAGTCCCTCCCTTGTCTTTTAACTCCTATAATCCTATTGATAATAATCTAAATGTGTCAATCATGCGAATCAGCGCCCAAAATTGAAGCAATAATTAATCGCGTTAATGAATCACTGGTATTGAGTATATATATGTGTAGACAGTCTCCGACATTCATGTAAAGTTCTTTTAAAAATAAAGACTTTTAAGTTCTATTGTAATCATGTGATCACAATCTTTATCCCATAGTAGGGAATTTGATTCTATTTGACCGTAGAATAAGTTCCCAGGGTGGGACATTTGACAAAAAAGGATAATTTCAAATCAAATCCCCTGGTTTGCCCGGCCTCCCCCCCCTGCGGGCTAACATTGATATGTGCATAACAATACATATGTAAATATATCCCCCGCTAACTCAAACTCTCAAGAAAAACTGCTCAAGTTACCGGGGGTTCGAGTTAACCAGGGTTGGTGTCAGATTATGTTTATATTTACATACATGACAGGCTGAGGTGAAAGTTAATCATACTTTCTACATTCTAATAATGTAGTAAATTTTAGGCATAATTTAATGTTTTCTAAACACTTTGATTCGTTTTGTAATTACTGTAGTTTACTCTGTTATTTTTTTTCATTGAAGGTAAGGTAACAAGTACAATAAAAAACCATGACCAGCCGACAATTTAAGAAAGTAAAGTAAAAAGCAAATTCCAAACAAACAAGACATCTTGAGAATCAAATTATAATTCAAACAAGACACAGATTGAGACTGTAAATTTTCGACTTTATTACAAAGTCATCTTCAGACGACTTTGTAATAAAGTCGAAAATTTACAGTCTCAATCTGTGTCTTGTTTGAATTATATTTTGATTCTCAAGATGTCTTGTTTGTTCGGAATTTGCTTTTTACTTTAAAGTACACCATGCACCTTTATTTAACTAAGGTCTGCATGTATCATAGGTCAAACTTGCTCTAATTCACCCTGGAAACATTAATTGCAGTACTTGGTAGCATTATTTGAATTGCACATGATTTTATCATCTAGACATCTACAAATATTGAGGAAAGATATCATTCATAAAATACTGGTGGATTCATAAAATATGTACGATTACCCTCTCATGCTTTACTGACACTGTTTGTGTCTCAACTTTCAAATATTGGTGTTTGTTATTTCAATTTGTAAATACTATTTACTCTCTCAGACTCTCAATGGGATTTGCTGCATAATATTGTGTTTAGTTGTCTCTAACATGTACAATGATTGGGCTAATCCTTTGTGTCCCTCCAGAGCCTCATGGGCAAAGTCATGCTGATAGTGTGACAATTAGTTATTTCAGAACAGGTTTCACCCTAAAATATTCTATCGGGAGATGCAGCAAACCGATTATGAGACGGAAGCACAAACATTCCACACTCAGATAACTCAGCTCCACTGTTTAGACTAAAGCATCTTGCTGCTGATTCCTCAAAACAATACCTTTCTGAAAGTTCTTAAAATTCTTAGATGGCTCTGGCTTTCTATTTTTAATACATTCCCATGTTTCTGTAAATTCTTTTCTTCCATACAGTCCTATAACTGCTGGGGCTTTTGATGAAGTAACCTTCCCTATTCTTTCTTGGAACCAGGTTTCAGATCTCTGCTTTAGGGTGCTACCAGCTATTCTACAACTAGGCGTGTTCTCTTTTTCTGCCACTGGTATACATGTTGGGTTATGATGAAGATGGACAAAGTTGGTGACTAAGTATGAACTCTTGGATTTTGACAAGTCTTATTTGAATGCATCAACACATAAAGCATCAATGTTTGGCTCACCTGCAGGCATTGAGCTGTAAGTACTGCTCACCTCCTGTGGAAGTCTTCTTTTTCTTCCACCTTTCTGATCACGGATGAGAAGATGTTTTTCAAATGTTATGTCTTGTAAGGTTTCTTCTTCATTAGCTCCTCCTCAGGGTCTTGTTGTGCTTTTACTGTTGGGATTCCCCACTGCTGCTTGATCTCTGTACGACCGATAGCTCGGGGAAATTCTTTAGCAGAGCTCATTTTGGCCTCCACAAGTTTATAGCACAGGGCAGCTATGTGTTTACAATAGCCATGTCGTCCTGCTGCACACGATCTATCTCTTGCTGCTATAATGTTACCAGTTAGCTTGTCAAACACCACTATGCAAGAATATATGCCACTACCTGATGAAATGCCCTTTGCTTGCTTCATTGCTGGTCTTGTGTGACCTTCCGACAGGAACATATCACAGTTTGGTAAGAGGTTAATTCGTAGAAGTTTTCCAAAAGTTTCAAATTTTGTCTTTGAAAAAGCGTATCCCTCTGTCAAGTGTCTCTTGTCTTTTGCATTCTTGAAAAAGTCCTCGATAACTGAATGTGTCATATTGGGAACATGCTTCAACTCTATGGTCCAGGTCTTAGTGGGTATATTTTCTCCCTCAAGATATTTTTCAACAAGCTGCTGCTTTGCATTTTGATTTTGTTTCCTCTTTTGCATTTGGACTTTCCCCTCTGGGTCCATTAATAACTGTTTGTCCCATCCCAATTTGATGTACGTGTGAATTCTTTAAGAAAAAGAATAATTAAAAGCATATAAAAATTCCCACTGTCTAAGATAAAAAGGTTGCAAAATCACAACAATAACAAACACACAACTCCAAACTTACTTGCATTTTAGCTCCTTTACAGTAATTCCACTACGATTTCTACAGCCACAACACTTTAGCCATCTCTCAGCCTCGGGTCTACTTAATTCTTCAACCTTTTTGTTCAGCTTTGCACCAAAAATTTCAGTTTTCTCGAGAGGAATAGAATCAACTTGATGACTACCCGCCATTGCTTGTTTTGGCGCAACATGTTGATCTACCCATAATGCAATGCGTGGCACCATCTTTTTTATTACGGCGAATTGGTCATGAAACGAGAGTGCAGGCATCATCGTAGAGAAATGACTGTGAACACAACACTCTTGCGCCATTGCTGCGAAAAGTTCCAACTTCGACGATTGGCTGCGAAAAGAAAGTGCTTGCAAGAAAATTGACTGGAAATACAACACTCTTGCGCCATCGTTATTTGAAAGTAATTTAGAATGCACAATTGGTCACGAAACAAGAGTGCTGGCCAGGGGCGGATCTAGACCAATGCAACAGATGCAAATGCATCGGTCAAAATTGTGACATCAAGGCTATTATATTTATATGAATACATTACACAAATCTTTTATCTTTTATACGCATATAAAAATACTTTATATCGGCTTATATTTGCCTTATAACTAACCAGACCGACCCCACTTTTGCTTAAACAGGTTCAGAATATTTAATCAGTTCAAACAAGCGATTAAGTTCATATTTTCTGTCAAGTTATCCATATCTCCGATCAAAACATTATCTCGAACTTCCTTTGTTATTCGACGAGTAGTCTTAAAAAATTTCGCGACAGGAAATATTTCGTTTAATTACGTCATTGCGTCAAAACATTACATAACGTCATAGCACCTGTGAGTGCACTGGTCACGAGTCCCTTTCCACGTGATATCTACTGTGACGATTCATTTCCATTGTTTTGAGAGTAGATTTGTGGATTTGTGCACCCGTGAGTGCATCGGTCCCGAGTCTTTTTCCGTGTGAAATCGACCGTGACGTAAACATTTCCTTTGTTTTGAGGGTAGATTTGGGTCCGCCGACCGATGCACTCGTGCAGATTGCGGGTGTTTTGCTACCTCTTTGCTTTAAGCCTCAATTTGGATTCTACTGTGACGTTAAGCTTTCACTGATGCATATGCAATATGCATCAATATGCATATTGATTGAAGTCATGGCTGCAAACAAAGGCATTATGCAAATCGAACGCGATTTGAAATTTGAAAAATCTCAGTGATCTGAGGTCATTAATTCAAGAAGAGAAATCTTCCGAAATGGAAACTTTTCGAAGATATCTTATGAAGAAAGCGGTTGTGCTCGTATCGACAACGAAATCTTGGAATCCTTTTTTGAAGGGCAATTTCGACGGAATTGTTGATTCCGAAGCATATAACTATGCAATGGCAGGATGGTGAATTAAGGGCTTTGAAGTAAGTAAAATTAATGAATTCATTATTTATACGATATTAATATTCACTATAAATTTTCAATATAAAGATAAAAGATCACATATTCTGGTATACGCATATGCTTCAGACTTTATTCGTTTATATTGAAATATGATTACAAATTAAAACTTAGAGTCTCTTCAAGTTTATATTTGGCACTCGGAAAATCATTTTCGTTTGTCATAATTATAACATATTGTCATATATTTAATATTTGAAGCACAAACATGAACGATCTCTCCAATGATTGCACATCTTGCATTAAATTGACCTACCCTCAAATGCCTCAATACCCTCACTACCCTGTACTCCTGTAATACAATAATTAATCTGTTTAGTCACTATAGTGGTGGCCCCTTTGTATTATTAATTTATTAAATATTTTAATAATCCTATAGCTTTTTTCCTATTTGTTATTTGATATTTCATATTTAATGTAATTTTATAGTAGTAATTTGAAATTTATAATTGAATAATTTGAATTTATACAACAAAAGGTGATGGAAATTGTTTATATAGATCCTGCTCTAAGTTGCTTTGTGGTAAGGATGATATGCACGAGATGCTAAGAGCCTTGACCAGTATTGAACTCTTCAGCAATCTGGAGTTTTATGCTTTCCATCCCTACATGAAGGAGAGATCTAATATATTTGAAAGAGAAAACACAGCATTTTCTGCAACAGCATCTGATATGGCATTGGGCGATGGTTATGACAGGCATGATCCTTGTAGCAGGTAATAGTGGTGAAAAGAGAAGCTATGAG